TAATTTTAATAAGATTAATAGAATTTATTGTAACCATAACCATAAGCAGAAAAGAAAAGACTCTGATTTCTTTTCTTCATATTTATTTCCTCACATGTATTTTCTTCATTTCTCACCATGAAATTAAATTGCCTTCCTCTGCAGGGCCCACCATAGTTTTATTTGGAGCACCCATCTGCAGGGGAAGTGCCAAGTTTTGCGGAAATTTGTGATGGTTTCATGGACTGACTTAAGTATAACATGCCAAGGATCATTAATGGAGTCCCCCATAATCTTCTGCAGGAAAGCAAATACATTATTTTAATGCATCTTTTGCTCCCCTAAAGGAAGGCAAAAAGGAAACGAAATATTACTAGAAAGAAAAACCGAGCCAGCATTGAATCCAACTAGCATCTTACTATTTTAGCATCGCTTGCTTTTCAAGACAAATTTTTTTTTCTATGGTGGATGAACATACCTTTCTCAAAATAAAAAAGTTTGTGGTTGAATTGCAAAACTAAAAATATTAGATAGAAATAAGTTTCTAATATTAAGAATTATCTTTTTATTTAATTATTTTTATTTTGTAATTTAAATAAAAAATTAGTCTATGTAAATACTCCGTCATTCTGGACACATTGACCATCTAGTTATATAATTTTCTTGTCATAGCAGATAATAAGAGTATCAGAGAATTGGTTAAAATGTAATATTTTTTACCGAATAAATTTTAACACTGCAGTACAATATCTAAAACTTTTTATTTAATACTATTTGAATGCAATATCAAATATGTGGTGTCGAAAAACTTTTTTTCCTAATAGTGCCATTAAGCATGAAAGTTCATGTATATCTTTCTCTCAAGCATCCCTGAGGTATACACAGCATGCTAACGGTTTATCTAATCAACTTAGCATAAGTGAGAAAATTTGATTTGCTATGATCTAATCTTGCATTAAAGTGTGAGCCCATAAAACTAATTATTAAACCCATTAAGAGATAAAGCGTAGGTAAAGGAAAGTAGGAAACTAAGTTAAAAACATAAATCAATAGTCCAAATCCAAAACCCATTCTAGGTCGGTTTAGTCTAACAACTAATAAGGCCCAGTGGCAAACTAAGCCCACAAAAATTTTCTTCTAAAAAAAAAAAAATTGAAATATAAAGAGAAATGCTCCTTAGTCAAATCCCACCCTTCTTCAAGCTCTAATCTCAGAAATGGCACTGAGGATTGTCTACGGTGCGGTGTTCCTCTCCATCTCCTGCGCCTGCTCTATGTTCCTCCACCTTATTCTCCACCCGTTCTTCTACTTCACCTCCTGATGGTCGCTGCTGCTCAAATCGGTTTGGTCCTCCGATTCTTGGTTTCGATTTTTCAATACCTTTTGTTATGATTGGTTGAAACTGCAAAGGAAACGGAAAAAGTTTTTTTTTTTTGTTGCCGTGTAATTCCAGACTTTTTCTTGTTTGTTTTTGTTGGTTGTCCGTTCTGAGATGCCGATTTGTGATTGCTGTTTGTTTTTGTCGTTTTTATGTGTATTCAATTTTAATGTCGGTTCTCTGTATTATCTCAATTTTGAATTTTTTTCATTCATCAAGAAAATTTGTGTGATCAAAATTTGAAACGCGATTGTGAATTTGTAATGAAAATGATC